GAGCTTAGCTTATCGGTACTTCAGGACGAGAGAAAATGTAAGGACTGAAGATAAGAAAGGGATGGGGCTATTCGAAATGTCAGGGGGGGAAGGGAAAGGAAAAAAAAAAAAAAAAGCAACACACCCAGATGCACCTGCATCAAACGCACTGCCTGGTGCAGTCCATGCACCTGGTCGTCTTTACTGCGCGCGGATGCCCATTTCCATTCCCAACAATCTTGACACGCCGCCGTTTGCCATACCGACAAATCGGTATCGCAGTATTGCAAGTCTCCTTTCGGCAGCACATTGGTGCTCGCTCCACCACAATCTCACCGAAAGCACAAAAGACAAAACATTGCGGTGCATCTTTCCACGTTCTAGCGGAAAATTCATTCTCATTTCGCACATTTGCTGCTGAGTGGTGGAGCGAGGCCCTTTCTCTCCCGATCCCTCCAGATGGTGCACGCCGTTTCTACTCATACACACATTTTATCACTGAGCGGTTTCTTTTTCTTCATTCACAAGGAGTCCGCTTCGGTATGTTCTCACTGACCGATCTTCTCCGTTCGTTTTTTCCACTGCTGTTTTAAATTTTCACCTCGGACTGCTGATTGAATAAATAAATGCCACCCTTTTCATGACTTCAAACCAACTAATGATCTTTTTTGCCATTTGTACGAGATTTTTTTTGCCACGTTCGAGCTTGACTATCTCTGCGCAGGTGCATGCATGAATGACTTCATCCTTTCAATCTGTGCTTGCACGTGTAGCGATTGGCCACGGTACTTTCTGGGAATGCTTTTGCCATTTCCACGATATTTCGAGCCGTGTCTTCTGTCCATCGACAAATGTTTGTTCACACACCACCGCTTTCAATACCCAGCAGGAAAGGCAGAGGAGAGCAGAGAAGTGGGGGGGGGGGGAGGAACAGAAAGAAAAGAAGTCAGGAGGAAATGGGACTTTATACATGCCAATTTCGGTGGAGAAAAAAAAAGTGAGGTACTTGACTCTCATCACATCCGCAAATGTACACTTTCAAGGAGGAAATGGGACTTTATACATGCAAAACATTGCAAAACACCCGTTACTGCCAGCTAAACCCTCCGTACGTGTGTGAACCTGGAGTCTGTAGAGTTTTCCGTATGCTGTGTGGGTGAGGGATAGTTTGCTTTGGTTTTCGTCACAGGTACCCTGAGGGCAGTGGTTGGTGCCCACGTCAGGGAATCAAGCGTCGGGCAGCCGTTGATGCTTAAGCGCAACAGGGGGGTTCAGGTGGATTATCACTTTCAGTATCATCGATTAGGAGACTGCAGTCTGTAGAGGGTTCAGCCTCCTGATGAGTCGGTGAAACTCCCATGAAACAGTCTGTCGCAGCCCCTCGTTGTCCCCTTCCCCCTCTCTGCCTACCGTTTACCGGGCAGTTCTGTTTGACGATATATACACATATACAATACATCGTGAACAAATGCTTGTTGTCTACCACGTGGCTGGCCTTGTACGTAAGAGGTGATGAACAGGTGGGACTTTCCTTCCTTCCTTCTTTTCATTTCCTTGTTTTGCTTTTGTTCGCCTTCGCGCGCTCTGATTCACAGTGTGACAACATATACATGTGTGTTGTCATATTCGCTATACAATAATAAAAAAAAAGCATGACCGTGCCAGACTGTACCGAACAGACTGTTTCGTCGGACTTTCACCGACTCATCAGGAGGTTGAACCTGGACCGCCAGTCTGCCCAGGATGCATGTGACTGATGAATTAAGGACTCGCTACATCGCCCAAAGTTAGCGATACCCTTGAGAGAGAAAAGTGTTAGCGATACAATTGAGAGAGAAAAGTGATCGACTTTACTCACACCAACCCTTGAACCCTGTATACATGTGTGTCTCTGTGTGTGTGTGTGTGTACTGTGTGTGTGGCTTGAACCCTGTATACATGTGTGTGTGTGTGTGTGTGTGTGTGTACTGTGTGTGTGTGTGTACTGTGTGTATGTGTGTGTGTGTGTGTGTGTGTGTGTACTCTGTGTGTGTGTACTCTATATACACTGTCATGAACAAATACTTGCTAACTACCGCACATAATATTTCACACGTCCCTGCCGTTTAGTGGAAACAAATATACGCATATGATTACGTACATTATGTACACTTATTATACCTCCATCCACGTGGGCGGCCTTGTACGCAAGAGCTCTTGAACAGGGGAAGTCGTAAGTAAGAAGATAAAAAACGACTTGATTTTTTCTTGTTTTTTTCGCTTTTGCGCTCTGACATCTTTGTGACGATATATGCACATACAGTCATGCAGAACTGCCCGGTGAGTGAGGTGTCCATAAGCACAGAGAAGAGAGGACGAAGTGAGAATGGGAAGGAGAAGAATGAGAACAATAAGAAGAAAAAGAAGAGTGACAAGCACTGGCCAAAAGCTGTCTTCCGTACACACTTCAACAGAAAATCATCCTTACACTCCGTACAAGTCTCGGGAAAGGCGCGCAGAATAGTGACAACAGTGGCCATAGACTGCTTCTCGCACATGCTTCAACAGAAACCATTACAACTCCGCAGTAGTGAAGAGTGAAAAAACACGGGCCAACTGGATTGCGTACTACACGATTGACAGATTATCAATTCCAACTCGGCGCATACATACAGTATGTCCCAGAGAGTACACTCCCCGACACAAGTTCCGATCGGCTGCGTTTCGATCATCCTCTACTATGCTCTCCGACCCACGTACTGACCTCCCAACCAACTTCTAATGACGGATAAGCAGTCCTGACGTCCTCAAGAACTTGAGTACGAAAAGAATACGATATGCAGACATTCATTAAGAAATAAACAAAAATAGGCGTCCCCAGTCCACTTAGCCGTTTGGTCGAGTGTTTACCTCTAAACGTGAAGGTCGCGT